ATATATAATATTATATTATACATATATAACACTATATTATTAATATTATATATAACTCTAATTTTGCTTAATACTAAATTAATTAATTTGCGATCATAATAATTAGTTTGATAATCGATGCGCATTGTCAATCAATTTTCATACTGATTCGGCGCTTCTAACTTATTCGAAAAAGATCATATTAATTACTTCTTGTAATATTAATTAATGTTAAATTCTTCACGAAATACTGCTGGTAAGGACCGACAACCGATGGCTCTACCATCTCGATGCTTATAAATATCACAATTGCTAGAAGGAGGGATCGTGAACGTGAAATGTCGGGAGAGAGTGACGTAAAAAAGAAAAAAAAAGAGATACAACAAGAATGTGTGTACGCGAACACGAATATCAGCAGGCGACGAATATCAGCGCGTGCGCGTTTTGACGACGCGTCCGATCCACGAACGCGACCAAAGTACTAACGAAATCGTGAAAGTGATCATACCCAAGAAGAGCGGGTCGATCATGTAATACGTTGTTTTTAGAATTAGATTGCACATTTACATTCTAAAAGAGTTGAAGCGAAGAAGGCATGACAGGAGTAACCGATCCACTGGTGAGTATCGATTTCGTCTTGCTTTCGTCGAGTTCACGTTTCTTTTATCGCATTCTCAAGTATGCTTCACGGTCAGATAAAAACCCGTTTTTAGTTGAGGTTGTAAACGCACGTATGTACGCGGCGATAATGGTATCATCTCACTTTCACAGAAGCGCGCACGCTGGCGTGCTCGAGCACACGTGGTCTGCGATAACATCGAATTTGTCTACAAAAAATGGGACAGAATTTCCCATCTTTTTCAACTTTTTGATATGGTGCAATTCGCGAACAAAATTGAATGTCTTAATTATGAATATACTTTGTGTATTCAACGCGGTTCATACATAACACTTAAAATAAAATAGGAAAATACGATTGGAACATATAATATTGCGTAATTTCTTAATACGCATCTTGCAAAATATAATCTTTACAAAATAAATGAATTTGCCAAAGTCATAAATTCACTGCAAAGCATTGCGTTCAAACGAGAAAGAAAGAGAGACGGAAAGAGAGAGAGAGAGAGAGAGAGAGAGAGAGAGAGAGAGAGAGAGAATTCATCAAAGCAAAAATTTGAGCATCCTATATAACCTACCCATAAAAGGATCAAAAGGATCTCTCTAAATATGATCGGACTGATCGATTTCATTGCATTGACGATACTCGCAGGACTTAATGGGGAATGTTCCAACATTGAAGGATGCAACGAAGGGGGCATTGACCGACATCGGCGACTTATGTAATGCCTTGTGTCTCGAATCGTATGCTCCATTTTGTTACACATATATACGTGTCGCGTACGTTCGCGGCATGTCCCCAAAAATATATTCGGAGCGATTAATTTATATCATTCCGTCGATTACGAAGTGAGCATGGGTGTTTCGTTCAATTTGATTTTCAAATATTTTGCGGGCAAGTACGTGCGGTGGTTCAGAAAAGTCGCGAAAAGGTGCGCAAACACGTTGGTGAGTATCACGGGGCGAAAGCCAAGATATATTTACCGTTGCTCGTACGCTATCAGAATCAACGTTGTCGCGTGCTTTGAGCTATCGCGATAAGTATACGTATAATAGTTATATGTATAATAGTTGCTGTTGACGAGATCCAGCTAGGTTATGTTGTGAATAAACACACGCGACCATGAAGAGCGATGTATCATTCTTTAAAAATGCGCATGTGCAGTCGATCATGACTTTATTTTGGCGCCATACTCAATTGAAGAACGATAAATGCTCAGTTGACAAATAATGCCCATTTTTACAACTTTTATTTGTAAACTTACTTTTTAGTGTAATAATAAAAATAATAATAACAAGAAAAGTAATTTAAAGGAAATTTTTTGCATTGTTTAAAAAAAAATCAAGTTTGGAAAAATGTAAAAGAATTGCTCATATATAATTCTATGTAAAATTATACATATAGTTATGTATGAGTTTTTTTCCAAACTTGATTTTTTTCTAAAACAAATAATGCGAAAATTGTCCCATTAACAAGATATTTTTGACATTTTTTCAATATTATTATTATTTTTAATATATTAAAAAGTAATTTTACAAAAGAAAGAAAGATGTATGGTATTTTATATAATTATATATATTTATGAATATTTACATTTATGTGTTAGATATGTTTATACATATTTTTTATATATTCATGTATAAAAAATTTTTTACCGAGTAAAAATAATATATCGGTGTGTGTGTTTGTGTGTGTGTGTGTGTGTGTGTGTGTGGGGGGGGAGTGAGATATATCACGTTTTTTATTAATAACTTATTTAAAACTTTAAACTCTAATTTCATATTGTCAGTAAAATAGAGACTAATTAGTGAATTCTTTCGCATGATATAAATCACTAAATCGCGGAATTTTCGAGTTCTTTAAGAAAAGAAAGTGGATTTTCATTTGATTTCTTACATTGCTAACATTAATCACTATCACCTGTTGCTTCTCACTTCGGAAAAGACTTCTGCATTCCGTCACGCGCAAGGAGATGTACGCACAAATATTAGATGCGCTGTTTATTTTGTATCGACAATGACAATGATGTTCAAGCGTTCGTTGAAACATTTCATAAATCTTATAACGTAATAATAATAATAACAATATGATTGAATAAGAATAAAATTAACAATAATAAACTATAAGAGCTACGAATCGAACAATATCTTTTAATATAGTAACAATCAACGTTTGTTATAAACAATATAGGCGTTTTGACACCAATCGTTATGAATGTTAAACAAATTATAATATAAAATTAGTAGGGTCACTGCATCAGTCTCTAAATCACCAATAAATGATTACTACAGAAAAATATTAAAATAATAAGATTTTAAAATAATAAATTGCAAATTAATTGATATTTTTCAAATCTAATTTCACAGATTTAACTAATATCACTTTTCACTTGAAAATGTAATTATATTACGTAAAAAAAGGAAAATATTTACCTTCGTTTATGAATGTACTTATAACAAAAATTTACTATAAGCAAAATAGAATACGCATATTAAAAGCAGTAACTTTTATATTAAGTATTTGTTATCAAAGAACTGACAATCAATTTCTTTAGGATAGCATAATGTTAAATTTTTATTTCTTGCTTATTTATTATTGTATTTTACTTGTTTTTAATTATATATTTCTTACGGATCAAATATTGGTGTATTTTGTTTTCGTTTGTATCAGTAAATGATACATTAGTCGTTAACTAATAAACTGAACGCAAAGCGGGTAAATGATCATGTTGTTCGTGATCAAGTGTCAAGATTGGAGGTTAGATGTTCGTATTTTGATATTTTTTGTGTTCTCTAAATCTGTGAATCAGTGAATAATGACTGCTATTAGATTATTCATTGATTCACAGCTAAGTATGCTGGTCAGTGAATGAAATGTGTGATCTCTAATCTTGCTAACCTTTATTGTGTGACTGTTAACTAACTCTGTTTTAGTGTATAAATTTAATAAATATTGAACTTGACATGCAAATATTAATATTTTAAGTTTATGGTGCTCAAATTTTCTGTCATTTTTAGTGAAACTTCATGATTATCCAGTGTTAAGTATGCCACTATCTTTATTTCACTATATTTTATTTCCTTTTCTTTTTAGAATATTTTTAGAATTTATTTTTATTTTCAAACAATCTTTAAGTATGTCAAATTCTGAGAAAAATAAAGGAAAAAAAAATACTGCAGATTTTCTTATTCGAAAGAAACGTTGCAAGACGCTGTTAAAAGTGTATGTGTTGATTTTTTTAGTAATAAGATATATGAAATGTATCTATTGAGAAAAAATGAGATCTTCGTCTATTCTTTTTTCAAAAGAAAAAGAACGAATTAAAACTTGGATAATTAACAAAGCAAAGTTGGAATTTCCAATACAAGTAATGTGCAAGATGCAGTGCAATCTTTTCTAGAAAAAAATAATCGAAAAAAATCCATTTGTAAATAGGCCTGGTAGAAAATGGATGAATTTATTTTTGAAAAGACATCCTAAAATCAGTATCAGAAACTAAAATATTATCTAAAATATTATCTAAAACTACCAAACTTACTAACACTTTGGTAAGCTAAGTTTATCAAAGTATATTCTTATTGAGATTAAAAGGTTATATTTTTATTATGATTATATTATTATTAAATAATTATATTTTTAAATAATTATATTATAAAATTTATGATTATGCTTTCATTCAAGTCTAGAATTATAAAAATACATATTTTGAAGATTGAATAATAAATATATTATTATTACGTAAATAAAGATATATAAATATAATTATATAGAGAATCCAGTTATTCAATAAACATTTTTGTTGAATCCAAATGTATATTTACTGAAATCTATGTATTCTTTTAAAAGGACTTGTCCTACTTGACTACTGGTCATTTACTAACGCATTGGTCATTAATTGAAACTTATCATTCACTAATTTTTCACTTTTTTAATTAAAAATCATTTTTGTCTTATTTTTTAAAGATAACTTATGATATTTTTAAAGATTAAATAACCAGCTATTATCTTTGAGTGATTTATTGTCTTTTCTCTTTTATATACGCACTATAATTCACTGTTTATATAATATCATGAATTTCTTATTTGTTCATTGATGTAGTGACTCTAGTTATGCGTATAATTTTATAATTAAGTAAAACATGAAAATATAAAAAATAAGAGAGAGTAATTTTTCGTATTTTTTATATTTTCATGTTTTATTTAACTATAAAATTATACGCATAATTGCTAATTTTATATTATAATTTAAATTTATTTAACATTGATTCGATGTCAAACCATTTATATTGTTTACAATGTTGATTGTTATTATATTCTGAATATTAAAAGATATTATTCGGCTCATAATCTTTCTAGTTTATTATTATTAATTTTGTAAATCACTTTGATGAAAAATAATGATTAATTTTTAATCGATGGCGATATTGTTGTAAGATTTACAGCTGAGGAAACTTAGAATAACTACAGAATTAATTTTTTCTAAATAAAGAAGGCTACCTAAAATATTTATATCGCTTCAGTTCGAGCTGAATGTCACATAACAGCAAAGAAAACTATCGTCTTTCCTCTAAAAAGTCAATATCAATTTCTCAGATTGACGTGCTAAAGGAAGCGGGACCAAGAGGTGAGATTGTGACGCAAGTCTCATCTTCCCAGGACAAGCATCACGATGAACAAACGGCAAAATGCGAACGGACACAATGGAGACAATGGCTAGCATGTATATCAGGTTTACATCATATTTCATGAAATATCACGCCCTTAAAGGTAACATGAAAATCAATTCGGCAATCAATCATCATTAATCTTCCATCAATCTCCATTTCACAGCGACTCTATCCATGGTAGCAGTCGGCACCGTCTACGGATGGACTACCACGTCGCTCTCACGACTCACATCCGGCGCCAGCGATGTTCCAATAAAGATAACCGACGATCAGGGCTCATGGATCGTATCGTTGACGGTGATCGGCTCTATGATCGGTCCGTTCCTCGGTGCCAGTCTTGCCGATCGATACGGCCGTAAGAAGTGCCTTTTGTTCGCAAGCGGTTTCTTCATCGTCGGCTGGACAATCGTTTTCTTCGCCCAGACTGTAGTTGCTCTTTACGTTTCTAGGATGATTCTTGGCATTGGCGTGGGCATCTCATACACTACCAATCCGATGTATGTATCGGAGGTCGCTGACGTCGAAATTAGAGGTGCTCTCGGTACTCTGATTGCCGTAAACGTATTCACTGGTTCCTTACTGACATGTAGTATTGGTCCGTGGGTATCGTACCACGTTCTGACAGGTATACTTCTCATGGTACCTATCTTATTTGTGATATGCTTCTCCTGGTTCCCCGAGACTCCTGCCTTCCTTGTGACCAGAGGTCGTAGAGCAGAAGCAACTAGGTCTCTAGCGTTCTTTAAAGGAATTCGCGATCGCGACGAAGCAAGGAGAGAATTAGAATACACTTTACGTAACGTTTTTATCGAAGATGTTTGCGATAATACTCCAGTGACTGGTCCTGGAGCTCGAACGGAACCCGTTAAGCGCAGCTGGATGGGAAAACTGAAGCTGATGCTGTTGCCCAGTAACGCTCGAGCTCTCGGCATTATACTCAGTCTAATTGCTACGCAGCAACTCAGTGGAAACTTTAGCACTATACAGTATCTTGAAGTGCTTTTCAAGAAAGCAGCGATCGGCATCGATTCCAACGTGGCTACGATACTTGTGCTCGCGGTCGGCCTCATCTCATGCGGATTATCAACTGCGACCGTTGAAGGCGCGGGCAGACGTCCATTACTAATCGCCTCCACCCTGGGTTCTTCCGTTACCCTAGCAATTCTTGCAATATACCTTATGCTAGACGAAAGAGGCATTGATGTATCAGCAGTAAATCTTCTTCCAGTGATCGATGTGATCATCTTTCAAGTGGCCTACCAGATTGGACTGGGTACTCTACCAAACGCGTTGATCGGAGAATTATTTCCTACTGAGGTGAAAGCGTTCGCCGGTGCCATTATCATCGTTTTCGACGGCGTGCTTGGTTTTATCGTATCCAAACTGTATCAGGTGATTGGCGATTGGTTGGGCGCCGACACCGTTTATTATTTCTTCGCGGGATCGTGTTTACTGGCGTTCGTGATGGTGATATTCACCGTGCCCGAGACCAAAGGTCGGACGTTCCGCGAAATTCAAGAACTTTTGGGAGGTAGGGAGAAGAAAAAAGAGGTCACCGAATGTTTGCAGGATCGAAATAGTATGGTATGACAAAAAGGAACATTTCGCACATCTTTACTGAACATGGTGCGAATTTACTAACGAGATAATGTCATCGGATATTCTTTCCAAAGCAATGAACATTAAAACGGCAATTACTTACTCGCAACTGTATATAAAATGTACATTTGCACGTTTTTCATGCAACAAAAAACAGGACGCAAAGGTGAAATGGCTTTTCGCTGTTTACCGCGATTTTTCTCGTATCTGCCAGCGGAAAATAAAGTGGTTTTTATTAATATCATTCTTGCTGCATAAATTTATCCTGATAGTTTCATTCGTGTTCCTTCAACTGTAAATATTTTTCGCCAGTATTTCCAAGATTATGTGGTTGTGTCGTGAAATGTATATTTATTTATTAAAACTCCACTATGAAGAACTGTCTTTATAGCTTTTATTGTTTTTTTTTCACGCTGGATGTTAGGCGGATCGAATATTTAACGGGACGTCAAATTTCAGAATTTCTCATACATACAAGATAAAATATTTAAGTAAGGAAAACGGCGTGAGAGAGAAATAGAAATAAAAAGGTCTGGCAAGTAAAAATGTCTAGTAAACCCGCCGCATCTCTTATACGACAAGCGTAAAAATCATAGCTAGACGACGTTTAAACATTGAGAAAGAGAGAGAAAAAAATGAAGAGAAAGAGAGAGAAAAAAAATGCTTGAAAAATCACGAGAATGTATGTCGCAATTAAAGAACAAAAAGAAAACGTAATGGGAAATCCTCCAGAATTCTGGAGGATCTATATTGTCAAGAAAGACGAACGTTTACATAACTACTGATTACACACACCACACACACACACACACACACACACACACACACACACACACACACACACACACACACACACACACACACACACACACACACACACAATAAATATATATATATATTTTCGCATGTTTGCATACTGTTTTATAAAATATATTAAATATTCTATTAAATGTTATTCGTTATAAATATAATGTTTACGATAGTCTTTCAAATAATGCAATCAGTGAAGTATTATATCTGCACGATTATGATAAGACGCGATAGAAAAATACATTATATCTAGGAATTTTTTTTCATTTCATAAAGGAGTTTTTTATTTCATAAAAAAACTCCTAGATATACGTGTATTTTTTATAAAAAAATCTTCAGGTGATGCTTTTTCCTCGATAAGTCAAAGCGGTAAGTAAAAATTTCAATTTATAGAACATCTGGCTTATGAGGATTTCGCACATAATCTTATTAGACTTTAGTAGACGACGCGTGGCAGATAAAATATAAAAACAGCATTTTTTTATGAAACATATTTTAAAATATAAAACAAAGAATTGGCTATCAGATTTCAATCGTGTTTTTTGCGTAAACAAAAATATCAAAAACGTATCATCTTTTTGCAAATAAAATTAAAAACAAATATTTTGTTGCAAATTTGTTGCAGAACAGTTTGCAACAAATATCAATATTCTTTAAATCGGCTTAAAAAATCTTTACATTATATACAACAAAATGCCCATAAGAAGTAAAAAAAAAGTAAAAATTAAAACAACATTAAAGCACGAGAAGAGTGCTTTATTAAACCAAAGAGAAATAAATATCAAAGTCAGTGAACAAATAATCATATTTTTAAAGAATAAAAAAGTCTTACGTTATGTGATGCTATTCCGAAATTTCATTTTCTCTTTTTTGTATCAATGAAGCCACACGAGCGATGTGACTGACAGCAGACATTTCAATTTACTTCTCGTATTACGTGCTACCGAGCATTATTTCGAGGTCGCGGTATGCACCGTCCATTTATTCATTAAATAAAAAATTAATAAAGAATTACGTTATAAAATTATTAAACAAAAAATTAACAAAGGACTACGTTATAACATAATTATGAGCAAAAAAATTATAAAAAAGTATTGCACGTAGGAGAGACCGGGACTAATTATAGATTCACTTTTTAATTTCGAATTTTCAGACGAAAGAAACTTAAAAATAAACTCTGTTCAGTTATTATATACATGGGAAATTGATAGCTAGTATGAAAAAAATATATTTTTCTAATGTATTCATGTCCTAGTCTCGGAACTGGGATAGGATAACACATGATGGTACGGGGTAGTTTGACAATAAAGCGTTCAAGAAGCACCATTTGTTATCAGCGCCATTTGTGTAACATTATATTATCCTTGTTTTACATTTAATGAATGATGAAAATAAAATGACAAATAGCTAATAGCGTCTTATCGAACGCAGCCTAAAATTATTAAAATAATGTTTAATGTATTTTAAACTATATACGTATATATGTATATGTGTATATATATATATATATATATATATA